TGCATCGGGCGAGAATTTGGAGATGGGGGACGATAAAGAGGTTGAGATGTGGGAAGATTGGCCATGAATCTTTTTTTGTTAGTTCAACCACCGAGAATTATTTAGTTTTTATTTAATTTCAGACAAATCAAATCTATAACGAGCCTATCAAAACCGTCCAGGTGGCACAATAAAACTTTGACAACACCTATAAAGGTTAATCATTATCAGACATTACTTAATGAAGTAAGATCTTAGAGAATAAATACATATTTCAATAAAAAAAATTTTTTTTTTTTAAAAGAAAACAAGACAGTTATCATGTTTTTCATTTATTATAATTTATTATTTATTTATTTAAAAAGTAATTAATAATTACGTGTTTAATGAGATATATGAATATATGTATATCAGTTTATTTTTATTTTTATTTTAACTTGATTAGTTGAATTATACTTAAGCATACTATTATATATATATATTGTATATATCATATATTATAGAAAGTTATTACCTATTAATTATTCTATATATTATTAAACTATATTGGATTTTATTTCAATATTGATTTGTTATTATTGATTTTATATTTAAAGATTTTTTGATTAAAGTTATATAAAATTCTATTTTAATTGTAAATATATTAAAAAAAAGTTGATTTGAGAATATATAGCAGATTGAGTCTAAAAGTGCTTGAACCATCAAGGCTCTTTCAATTGTTTGGTTTCTTAGAAAATTTTTTTTGCCTAGAGAAATATGAATTAATTAATTTCTTATATATAACAAAAGTTTGAAATAGAAAAATAATTTTTTAGATTTTGTGTATAAAACTTTTTGAAATTTTTTTTGAAATTTTTAAAATTTTAATTAATTGTAAATTAAAGTATAAAAAAATTTTTTATTAAAAAAATATATTTATTATTAATTAATTTTTAAGTTTATTTTATTTAAATTTATAAATTTATAGAATTTTATATTATATTTTTGATATTATAAAAAAAAAAAGCTTTAAAATTAAAAAATTTACAAATTAAAAATTATTAAAAAAATTTTTTTTTAAAAAAATAATCTATATATAAATTAAATTTTTTAAATTGAATTATAAAATTTTAAATAAATTTTTTATTTGTAATTAATTTTAATATTCAAAAAATTTATATTATTATAATTTAATTTTAAAAAACATTTTTATATAAAATTTATATTATTATAATCACTAGATTCCAAGCTTTATTTTAATATATTATTTATTAATTTTTTTATACAATAGTTTTTAAATAATAAATAAATGAAAATTTTTAAAAAGTTTTGATACATATTATATATTTAAATTTTATAATTAAAAGAATATTCAATTTTTCTTTCTTTATTATTTTTATCATTTCTAATTTTCTTTTCTATTAACAAACTATTTTTTTTCCTTTTTGAAAGTTTTTTTTTTATATATCTTTTTTTTTTTATTATTATATAGTTTTAACTTTCTAAATAATTATAAATTCTATCTAAATAAAACTAGTTACCTTGTTTTAAATTGAAATATTTTTATATAAAATATAAATCTTATTAATAGAACATCACTCTTAACTTAAAAGATTTTATAGAAAAAAAATTAAATTGATATATCTTAATATAAAAAATTAATATTGTCAAGAAATAATAATATTTAGTTATAAAAATATTAGAAATATTTTTTATTAAGTACTAAATTAAAAATAAGTTAATAGATAAGAACTAAAAATAAAAATAAAAAATATTTAATAAATATAACGAATATTAAAAAAACTTATTTTATTTATTATATATTCCTTAA